GCAACCTCCTTTGGTTGAAGGACTGCCTGTAAGAGCTTCATTATTTCTGTTCCGTATTTAATCAGAGTCCCTTGTGAATCTTTCCTTCCAGATTGCCCCATGTGCATGCACTACTCCAAATGCATATTTAGGATCTGTGTAAATGTTAACTCTTCTTCCCTTGCTGAACTCTAAAGTTCGTGTTAGTGCAATCAATTCTGCCTTCTGAGCAGATGTATTACTGGGCAAAGATTTAGCCTCTAAGGCCTGAGTAGGCGTTACCACTGCATATCAGGCTTTTTGTTGTCCTTCCAACATAAAGCTGCTCCCGTCAGTGAATAGCTCCAGTTCTGCATCTGGCAGGGGTTCATCTCGCAGATCAGATCTGCTAGAATACACTTGTTCAATAGTGGTTAGACAATCATGATGTAGTTCACTGGATTCAGAAATTGGAAGCAGAGTGGCAGGATTTAGAGCATCTTTTTCCAACAGCACAGCCTGATATTTAACTTGGGGAGATCCAATGATGCTCGTTATTTTCAAGGAGAGAAGAAACAGCATGAGGCACAAACACAGTAAATGGTTGACCGAAGGTCAGTTTCTGGGATTCTTCAATCAAGCTTACAGTAGCCGCTACTGCTCTTAAACAAGCAGGCCAACCTTTACTGACTTCATCTAATTGTTTTGAGAAGTATCCCACCAGTTTTTTCCAGCTTCCCAATGTTTGTGTCAGAACTCCTAATGCCACTTGTTGTCATTCATGTACGTATAACTGAAAAGGTTTTCTCAAATTTGGGAGTCCCAAAGCAGGAGATTCCATGAGCTTCCTTTTAATTTCATCAAAACTTTTTCTGCACTCAGGTATCCATTTGAGAACTCCCTCAGGCCCTTTTATAGCAGCATACAATGGTTTGGCAATTAGTCCAAAATTGGGAATCCATAAGCGACACCATCCGGCCATCCCCAGAAACCCTCTTAATTGCTTTTTTGATGTAGGTACAGAAATTCTACAAATCACCTCTTTTCTCTCAGTACTTAATTCTCTCTGTCCTTTGATGATTTCAAACCCCAGGTATTGGACCTTTACCTTCCCGATCTGAACTTTCTTCTTAGAAACTCGATATCCTGCCAGGCCCAGGAAGTTAAGCAAACTGATGGTAGCTTTCAAACATGCCTCATAATTGTCAGAACCAATCAGTAAATCATCTACATATTGTAACAGTGTTACAGTATCATGATCATTTTGCCATTGTTCTAGCTCTTTGGTTAGTATGTTACCGAACAAGGTGGGCCTGTTCTTGAATCCTTGGGGAAGGATAGTCCAGCAGAGTTGGGTCTTTCATCTGGTAGTCAGATTCTCCTACTCAAAGACAAAGATGGTCTGGCTCTGTTCATCCACAGGTATGCAGAAGAAGGCATCCATTAAATCCAATACTGTAAAATAAGTATTACTGTTAGGGATTGTAGCAAGGAGAGAGTATGGATTTGGAACCACAGGATGGACATCTACTGTCCTTGCATCAACTTCTCGTAAGTCCTGCACCAGTCTATATTCTGTAGAATGTGGTTTCTTTACAGGTAAAATGAGAATATTACATTCCAATTGACATTCCCGTAACAGTCAATTTTTTAAAAAGGAGCTTATTATTGGTTTTAATCCCTTCAGGGCTTCTAATTTAATGATATACTGGTTGAGCTCTTGGTTTCAGTTCAATTTTTTTACTGGAGTCACATTCTTCGCTTGTCTGGGTATTTTCAATGCCCACACCAGAGGTATGACTGCATTCAATATTTCCTGGAATATTCACTTCTTCATTAGGATCCTTTTCGGTTAACAGACATATCTGGGCTTTCAGTTTCTGGAGGAATATGTAACTGAAGAGTCTTCAGTAAAGGTTAGTTGTGAGTTGTGCATTCAGTTTACAAAGTAAATCCTGTCCAAGCAAGGGTAGGGGGCATTCTGGCATATAGAGAAACTCATGAACTAATTTAGTATCTCCAATTGAATATTCCATTGGCTGTAAAAAATTGCCTTAAAGTCTTTTTTCCTGTTGCATCAACAATGCTTATCTTAGTTTTACTCACGGGTCCCTTACAGCTAGTTACGACAGTGTGGCTCTGCTGTTGTCCTGGTTCCAGCAGGGATGGGGTTAATTTCCCCAAGGATCCGGCAGGGGGCAGGTATTCCATCCCATGTGACCCATGCCCGGGCTATAAGAGGAGCTAGCCAGGGCGAGGAGAGCAGTCGCCACTTGGGGGTGGGCTGTGGCAGTGTGGGTCTGGTTGTTGTGCTTCGTGGCAGTACTGTAATCGCGTTTTCATCTTTCCTTTTGCTGTTCTGTTAAATTGCATTATTTTAACCCATGAGTTTTGCCCTGTCGATTTCTTTTTCCACGACTGTGGGAGTTGCGCGAGCGGCTGCGTGGTTCTTTGTTGCTGGCTGAGGCCAAACCACGAGAGCTGTCAATTTAAAAATCTATTATTTCATTCCCCAGCTTAACTGAAACCAAAGGATTGGCTGAGGAAACTTTAATAAGTTCCTCTTGTCCCCTTCAATCAAACCCAATCTCTGCCATGACCCCCGTGACTTCTTCCATCTTTCTTCCCTGACTATTTGAAAGGCATGGACAATACTTTTTCCAATGTTCCTCTTGCCTACAATATGCACACTGATTCGGTCCCAAAGGAATGGCACAATGATTTCCATTATAATTCTCACAGCTCCTTCCTCGGCTCCAAAATCCACTCCGCATATTTCCTCTACCACTCCCTGTTCCTGGTCCTTCAATCAAGGCAGCCAGCAAAGCAGCATGAAGCCTTGCTCATCCTTGCTTCTCCTTCTCTTCCATTTCTTTCCGATTATTATACACCTTATAAGCCATTGACAATAGTTGTGAGTTCAGGTGAGTTGCAGGTATCACCTACCAATTGTTGGCTTCTTTATCAAGCTGGGATGTTGAAAACAAGTAGATTGGGAACAGGGTATGCCCACTTGCTAGAGATGGAACGATGGTTTGTGTCTGAAGCATTATGCAAGGGAAGTCAATTTTCTGTGCTTACTCCCTAGCATACCTGCACCACAGAAGTGTCCTGTTGCTGTCGGGAGCCAGACACCAGTGGCTGTCCACACACCTGAAGCACTGAAAATCTTGAGGAAAAACTCCCATCGTGGCTCTGTAGATAGATATGTTTCTTTTGGAGTGCAGAGGACATCGTCTGTGAGTAAAAAGGAGATTTTAACTTTCAGCACTCCGTGTTATCTCTGTGGCATGATACGCAGGCAATCAAATTCACTTTGTCCTTTTCCTTATCTTCATGCTACAACTTCCAGTCATTTCAGACACTGCTGCAGTGTCCATGTCTGAGATTTCTGGTAATTGTGCAGGGAACATTTCTGCAACTTCAAAATAGGTGTTGCTGCTCACTCTGCATTCTATGGAAAGCTGGACTTGTGAGCCGCAATCTCCTCCCCAAGACAGTTGCAATTTCCAGTGGTCTTTTTTCAGTTTAACAAAGTACACTATCTATACTGCACTCCTGTGTGAACACACAACAGACTTTCTCCTAATCAGTCAACTCCTGTCTTAAATATTGCCAAATATTTGTATCTTGTCCCCAGTAATGTTTTGTTTAAAGGTTAGTGTTGCGTTAAAGGGCAAAGTAATTTGGCAGAAAATAAACCCCCTTGTGTTCCAGCCTGTCCTCAGATATCAGAGGGGCTGGGGGCAGACAGGCTTAGATTCTGAGTGATGCCCAATTCAGCGTTAGAAGTCCGGTCACATTCAATATGTATATTGAACTATCATGATTACGGATGCACTGATAACACCATACAGGATTCAATCTAGTGGCGTTCCATGAACTAGCACAGCCACACTTAAAGAGTTTGGTCACGTTCACTATGAACTCTCACGACTAGTTTATTGAAGCAACAGATGCACAAGTTCTTTTGGATTGCTGGTGATAAAGTCACTGTCTGTAAAGCATGTGCAAATACTAAGAATGTTAGTAATACAGCCTGGCTATAAATGTGTTAAATCATAAAACAACTCTATATAGAGATTTCTAAGTTTCCTGGGGAAGCACTTGGTATAACCAAGTGTTCAAACCTTACCCACAAGTGTCCTTATGGGGGGGAAGAGAGGCTCAGCCCGTCGACTGGTCCCAGAAGTCAGGGGTGGTCAGCGATGGTATCTTCCTGACTGCAGTGGTATCTTCCCTGACATCCCTCCTCTCTTAAGCTATTTTTATACTATTTTTTACCTTTCAGGTGGAGCTTGAGGGACTCTAGTCATACATACTTTTGTTATGATTGGTGTAAAATTTTCTCTCTTTGCTTTTAAAGGTATAGACTAGGAAAAATTCAGAGCGCAAGCTCAGTGAGGGGTGGTCGTACCTTGGAGGTGGGTAGCTTTTGGGATGGAGGTGTGTTTTGGTATTATAATGACATTATAATGAGCAAAGTTCACCCAAAGGATAGCATTTTGTCAAAAAGTGACAGATCGTTAGCTCAGGGTAGCAATTAGGCAGCTTATCAGTTCCATTTGACCTTCAAGGGTTCCATAAGACCTTCAAGTTCCCATCTTATCACAGAGTTTAGCCGTGGTGTCTCCACTCTGCTCCATCCCCCATGCAGTTTCTCTTAGAGTCAGCACATCAGGCTCCCCCGATGTCACCAACATCTAAGGTTACCTGGGGAACCTCTGTGGAATGTATCCCTTGCACACCAGCTGCACTCTGCCCTGAAAGTTTCTTTGATGCTGTACCTTTCCTTAAAATATGAATATAAATTTGATTTCTAAGTCACCTCCAGGAATTATTCCACAGTTAGTTAATGAACACCTGTAGCAGCTGATGACTTTTCCTGATCGTTTGAATGGTTGTTGAGATGGCTTCACCTATGACCCTTTCTGCTTTAATATTGCACTCCCCGTTTCTTTAAGCTTTCAAAACTCAAAGTTGTAGAGTAATTCATTTTGCAGCTCTACAAGCAGTAGGCAATGGGATGTGATTAGCTCTAAATCCCTATACCAAGTTCCCTGAATAGTTTTTAGTTGCCTTTTTGATAAAATTAAAGGTACATTGTCAATCATAATCATCATCATTTGCATTCCTGGCTCTATGCAAGTAATCTTTGCCACAAATCCTTTACCTGCTTTCTCATTTCTTGCTATCACATCTCTTAGGAACATTGCAGTCTCTCATGCATTAGGCCCAGTTTTCTAGAAATTGAGTTATTTCATTCTAATTAGTTCTTGTTTGGATAAATGACACAATTCTTCCCTTGTCTTTTCCTTTCTGCTTCTTAGAAATGTTTTGAAATACATATATACATAAGCATATACACATATATGGCAATCAGGTTGTAATTATGCTCCAAGAGCAGAAATTTAATACAGTAAATACCTGGGTAGAAACAGAAATCAGTTCTCAATGATTTATGTTATGAATGAAAATGCCTACTAAATCAGAAGTCCATCAGAGCTGAGAGGAAATCCAAGCCTAGATATCTACTTTGCATGTGGTTTTAATTATTATAAAGAACCAAACCTTCAAATCTCAGCACCTCTGTACTTTTGGGAAGATAAGATCTGTCCACTGTAAAGCCTTCTGCAATGCTACACCATTGGCAAGGAATATATATATTTCTAAGGTTCTCATGGTTTGTACTACCTACCTATGAATTTCCGGTCTGTGTGGTGTGTACTCATAGTGCTGAGCTTCATTTTAAGTTGTGGATTTAAAAAAACAGAAAAGTTAAAAGTAAAGCTGAACCAAAACTATTGAGGCCGGCTGATTTCATATAAGCCAAGTGAAGCTGAGAATTTTGCCTGGTTTACACAGACAATCGCAGATCTGTCCATGCTCACTTGGAAAGGCTGCAGAGTATCAGCGAATAAAAGAACAAATCTGTGCAGTGTATACTGAAACTTGAGAGCAGGAGAGCAGGAGAATGGGAGTGGAAACACTGCTGCACATGCACTATACTCCTTCTTAGGACTTGGGAATGTAGCAGGTGCTGTACCAGGGCGTTCATCTTAACTGAAAAGGAAATCTTACAAAAAGGGTGATCCTGAGAACAACATTAACATCCCGTGTAGAATGGCTTCGGGTCTAAAGCTCAGGGTAACAGATCTATTTAGGATGCACTGGAAGGAAAACACTGGGGATCCCTTCTGTATCTGCAGAGCCTGGAACTGGAGAAG